TGCATATCGTACAAGCATCCAGGAGGACCTTCTGATGAAAGTAAATATTCTCCTTCTGCAATTAATTTATGGGTTTCCAAGTCTCAGTGTCCTGAAGTTTTAGCTACAGTGGAATTCATTCGCTTGGCCTGTGAAGTCTGTGTTTCCTTCATCAGTTCATTCACAAGTATTGATAGCATTTATTACATTCCAAACACGAAGCCAGTTCCTGAGTGTATGATGACAGATGTTACATCCCTGACCCTGCCTGTGTAGGGCTCCGAGTCTAATGAGAAATTCTGCCATAAATAAAATTATCTGAATATCTAATGTAAAACCGAGTCAAAGTTCTTGGGGTTGTATTACATTTTATTCCAAAATGGATTTATCATTAGACCTGATCCTAAACCATGCCAGGAATTAATCCTCTCAACTGATGTCCAATTATTTTTAAGCCATATCTGAATTATAACTGGTTTTTCTCAGCTTCTAGAACTAAGCACCAGGACATGACAGACAGATTCAATGGATTTTTCACACAGTAGATTACTCTGAAGCCATTAAATAGTGACTGTGGCACTTTTCCGTGCTTGCAATGATTGTAACTGTCTAAATAAAGAGTGGGGAGAGAAATCGTATGTACCCACATGCTACTTATAGTGGTACAAAGCTCTCTGTAAGAGAGATCTCAGGTGGGCTCATGCTGGAACAAAATATTTTTTAGCATTATTGTAACACTACTTGAACCTTGCCAAAGTAAAGAGAAAGTTTCCAAAATGTTTTAGAAAGCAGAACAAAAACTTCTCTGACCTCCACCAGGGCTAATAATTACACATTATCTTATTGTGCCTTGTGTAAATGATTGGGAAAAGACACAGGCTTAATGTACACAGGATATGAAGCATGCACTAGTTAATAGGCATCTCACTAAAGGTAATGTAATGCTATACATGAAAAATCCCTAGGATTGATCACCTTACTGGGTCTCATGAAGTGAGCCTCCATTTCATGATGGATCTGCCTCCAGCAATAATAACAAATATTGGTCCAGGTTCACAGTAAAAACAAAATGTATGCACAGCATCATATAGAGGCATTGTGGTCTACCCGTCTTCTCCAGGACCATGAATTCCTCCCTATGTCTCTGAATCACAAGTGATTTTCTTCCCTGTCTCTTATTTGTGATGATTTTAGTGTGATCATGTTACTGCTACAGTGGTGGGGACAGTGAACAGGTTTCTAAGAACAGTCAAGTGTTCTAAAAATACAGGTAAAATTGACTCCTATAGGTTCTCAGTTTCCCTTAGTTGCGTTAGCTTGTCAATCTTTTGGGGTTCTCTTTCCTGTTGGATATTTAAAGATGCTCTGGGAAGGGCAATTAGATGAGATTTCCCAGATAAACTGGAACTGGGATAGGGGAAGGGGATGGAAACATGAGGTATTTGGATGACCAAGATGGGGGATAGATGGAGAGAGAGAGAGCAATGAAAGAGGTATCTTGATATATAGAGGAACATTATGAGTTAGGGAGAAAACTGATGCCAGGGAAACTCCCAGGAATCCACAAGGATGACCCCAGCTAAGACCCCCCCCAGCTCTAGTAGAGAGGGTGACTAATCTGGTCTCCTCCTGTAATCAGATTGGTGGCTACCATAATTTGTCATCATAGAACCTTCACCCAGTAAGTAATGGAAGCAGATGCAGAGATTCACAGTCAAGTCCTGGGTTGAGCTCTGTGAGTCCATTGATGAAAGAGAGGAAGGATTATGTGAACAGGGGGGGGCAAGATCATGACATGGAAAGCTACAGAGACAGCTGACCTGAGGTCACAGACTCTAGACTAAGAGCTACGGCGCCTGCATGGAACTGACATAAGCATGTGGTGAGAATTGTGTAGCTTGATCTGTTTGTGGGACCCCCTAGAAGTAGGACCATGATTTGTCCCTGGTGCATAAGCTGGTTCTTTGGAATCTATTCCCTGTGGTGGGATGCTTTGCTCAGCCTTGATGCAGACAGAGGAGCTTAGTCCAGTCTCAATTGATATGTCCTGCTTTGTTGACTCCCATGGGTGGCCTTACTCTTTCTGAGTAGTAGATGGGGATTGGGAAGAAGATGGGGGGAGGGACCACAGGGAGAGGAGGGAGGAGAGGCTATGGTTGGTATGTAAAATAAGTAAAAAATTAATAAGAAAGAAATGCAAAAAATTATATAAATAAAGACATGGTGATGCTGGTCTAAATGGAAATCTAAGCAATCAGTGAGTTCTAACCAGTCAGCTAGGTAGTTTTGTACATCAGTGGAGAAACACAGCTGAAAGGTTTTACTAAGAATGCAGGTGTCTACTCAATGGCTGCGCAGGTTCCCTCCTACCTTTGAGCTTCAGGTTCTAGCTGTGCAGACAGTCCCTTGAAAAACCACATCTGCAGTAGCATCCTTGGCTTCCAACCTGCTCCAAAAGCAACAGTGACCGAGCTCCCCTTAAGATTTGTTTTGGTTTTGTTTGTTTGTTTGTTTTTTGAGACAGGGTTTCTTATTGCTGTATAATTTACTGAACTCCTGATTTTAAGAATAACCATTCCCATGAAAACCCTTTACGTATAAAAACGTTATGAACTTGGGACCCTGTGAAGATATCAGTATGTGACCGTGAGCAAGAACTCTGACTCTCTGGGTCTGTGGTCATAACAGTGACAGCAGAGACTGATATTACACAATAGTTTAGCACAAGATAAGAATTCAGTACAACAGGGTTCCTTTTCTTCCCTGATGAAGTGTTACTGTCAGTTAGCATAGGTCCTTCTGTAATGACATTGCCTACAAGTGATCTTTTGTACTATAGGAACACTCCATTGAAAATTGGCTTCAAAACCTTTCTGTCTTCCACCTACAAGTCAAAAAATAAACACTCCAGTTGGTTGTGGCAGTGTTTGCTAATGTCCCCGGACCTGGAATACTGAGGCAGTGGGATATCCAATTCAAGATCAGGCTTGGCTACGTACAGACAAACTAAAACACATAAACAAATAAGGCACAGTAAGTTAGGGCAGGCTGAAGCAAACTGAAGATGAATTGACAGGTTCATAGGTTACTTTTACACAGCTGCACCCAGTGTATAAGATTCTGCTCTGTGCCACAAATTCTTCACCAAGCGCTTTATCTTTCTGAGCAAATAAAGAGACTCCAATGTGTGCTAGAAATGTGCTTTCTTCTCAGCATTTCATTTGCCCTTTGAGGTGTGTAGTATTTACAGGGAAGTCTTCAATGGTTCTCAAAAGCTCTTGATTTGGTCCTCGTCTTTGGAGACTAGCCTCTATTGATTCAAACTCTGCTATCCCATCAGGCTTTGGATACTAATCTCTATTGCTTCAAACTCTGCTATCTCATCAGGCTTTAAAGACTAGCCTCTATTGCTTCAAACTCTGATACTCCATCAGACTTTAGAGACTAGCCTCTATTGCTACAAACTCTCTTATCCCATCCACATGAGCACCTCCCAAGTGAGTTTTTGCCAGAATCTCCTGTCTTTTATATGTAGTGAGGAATAATAACCCATCCCAAGTATACACACGGACTTTGGACTCCAATAGAACAATGTGAGGTGCACTCTCACCCTGAACTCTTGGGAAAGGGTCTAGGCCCTGCCCTATATGAAATGACACACTATAGACACCCCCATGGAGGGCCTCACCCTCCCTGGAGAAATGAGGGGATAACGGGGGGGGGGGGGAGGGCACGGGAGGAAGGGAGGGAATGGGAGAGGGACCTGGAACTGACTTGTGAAGCAACCTTGATTCTTATCTAAATTTAAACTGGAAAATAAAAGAAAAAAAAAGATTTTGGGAAAATGGCTTTGTTCAACAGTAGGATGCTATTTTCATAACTGACAGAACTATTTTAAAATGTTTCTGCTACTATAGATTCCTTGGCCTGGTAACAATTCTACACTTGAAGATTATGTTGTAGTATATTAAATATTAATATTTTGTCTTAGGATAGCAATTATTTCAACCTAAGGGACACAATTATTGTCAAGAGAGCAGATAAAGTCATACTAATAGTTGGTTTTATTCAAGTTTTTCACCATGTTGATGTTATTGTTTCCAAGCAAGTACCTCAAACTCATTATTTTTTAATCCTTATTCTTGTATTCTTATTGAGTTAAAGAGTAAAGAAATGAAAATTTAAAATGGAAATGCCACTTTCATTACACCCATCAGAAACTCATCTTTACCATATAGCCTCTTTGAAGGATCCAACTTCCAAAAATAATGTCATAGTGATCGGTTTAGGATCGAAGAGGAGGAAATTATAATTTGGTGACTTTCTGCTGAATGGGTATTTGTATTTGGACCACAGTTGTAATATGTAAAGAGATGGAACGTTAGAAACAATTAGAACCCTCAGCCCTGTAGAAAGATAACTGTTATTACAGGCGGAGTTTCAGGGCCCAACCCTTCACTCTAGTACAGAAGCTTTGTCCCCAAGTGGCTTTGCAGGATAGGAGGCCCCGAGCAGAAGAGGAAGTCCATCAGATGTCTTCCCTTAGGGAAGCTGGATTTTACCTGGTGGTCATGTTACTTTACTAAAAACAACAACAACAGAAGACGAAGAAGGAACCTGAGCCCTTTGAATGGTTCTTTAACTGTGGCTGTGCTGTGGTCACCCATAATGGTGAAAGTGGGGTCACAGACAGAGCAGATCCCAAGGTGAGGCGCATGCTTGGTGTGCCGTTCTGTCAATGAGGAATAACTCGCTGGCCTCTCTTGAGGACTACAAGCAGAAATGTGTTACCTTGAACTAGTTCAATACCAGCTCACTCCCAGCACCAGTTAGCCTATCACAGCCAGGCAATGTCAAAGTAGGAAGCAGGAGTCATTCAGTCCCTCCCTAGATCCCCATCTCACCTATGTCTGATTCACAGGTCACACTTGAAAGATGTCCATATCCTCAGAAATGTCCTGTGGGTGTGTTCCTACAGTAAATGATCTACACAGTCAGCACGTGTTCATGTGTGTTTTCAGTGCCTGCATTGGCGCCCAGGACCCTTACTGTGGCTGGGATGTGGTAATGAAGAAGTGTACAAGCCTGGAGGAGAGTCTGAGCATGACACAGTGGGAGCAGAGCATCTCCACCTGTCCGGTATGTGCCCACCCCATCCAGCTTCCAAAAGCAAGTGGATCTGCTTTTGCAAACCGGAAGCAAATTTGTGATTTCTAATTTTCTTCTATTCCTGGCTTGCAGGATAATCTTACTTGCTTTACATTGATTTAAAGATTCAACAGCACGGTTGAACATAATAAGATCCTCCTTTTTACAATTTTTATCTTTATTTTTTTGGTACAGAGTTCCGTGTGGACGCTTGTCCCTGTTACACCAATAAACTGTGAACTTCCGCACCCCTTCATTCCCCTAGGGGGCTGTAATTCCAGAAGTTGACATAAGTAAAGGTTTGAAAAATAAGTTAAAGGATATTACTGTGGCCCCATGTGGAGCAAATTCATAGACCTTGGTCAGGGTCAACGGAAGGCCTGGAAGAAGCAGACTTGTGCACATTCCCATATGGGACCCTGAGGAATGAAGAGAAACTGGCCTATATTTACAGCCAAGCTCTGAATCCAAGAAAAGCAAATCTCTCTGTTTATTCAGTGTGTCTGCTTGGATCACTGCTTGGAGAAACCAGTTTTCCTTTATTTCTTTCTTCTTTCTGATGTCCTAGCATATGAACAGTAACTACCAAGACTAATGTACTCAAAGTGTGTTATTCACTCTGTGTCATACAGCTGTGGGTTTCTGCCTCTTGGTTGTGAGCACTCTGCAAGGCAGGGGTTTTGCTTTCCCTGGATATATTAGACACACCTCAGGCTTCTGAGTTGCCAATACAAATTCCAGAAAGTGTCCCTTTCCTATCTAAACCACCTGTTAATGAAGCCTGTCCTTCCTTCTACTTGTAAAGAAATGAAGCAGAGTAAAATTTGGAAGCATCCTTCCCAAACGTTCCTATGGGTGATGAGTTCTTCACACAAAGGAGTTGGGGTGGACATCATCAAATCTAGGTGTCCAGTGTTCCCAACAGGGATTAATTTTAGAAGAGTGGTTCTCAGTCTCTGGGTTGAGTCCCCTTCAGGGGTCAAAAGATGGAGTCATATATCACATATCCTGGATATCAGATATGTACATTACGATTAATAATAGTAGTGATACTGTAGTTATAAAGTACCAATGAGAATAATTTTTTGGTTATTGAAGGGTCACAGCATTAGGAAGTTTTACAACCACTGACTTAGACCTGTTGGCTTCGTAGTGCAAGGTCTTGAATTTTAAAATGAATTTCTCTTCCATATCTCTTGAAAATGGTTTGGAAAAAACAATGAACTGAGGAAATCCTTTCTCAGTTTTAAACATGTTAGGAGTGTAAAGGCAGTCAACTTAAATTTTATGTAGAAGGCAAAAATGCAATGAGCGGCATCCCAAGTGTCAGTCTGTATAGACGTCCTCATAGACAGTCAGTGCATCTTCCTGCAGACTTTTGTCCTGGCCATTTCAATGGTTAAAAGGGGTGTAAGAGGCATATAACATAACTGCAGTTTGTCCTAATGGTTAGAACATTTCTCCTGCACCTATGACTAAATATGTGAGCAACTGAGCTAGCATGATTATGCAGAGAGAAATTCACCCCATGCATTTGCTTTATAACAGATGCATGTCTTGGGTATTCTACAGCAGAAAAATATTGAAATGAAAGACTCCAATGTTTAAGACATGACCAAAGTGATACAGTTAAATCCACAAGACAGCATGGACTTAAATCACAGCCCGAAAATATGACCACATTCCTAGTGTCAGTTATACATAACAAGGTCTGTTTTCCTAGACATGGGTGTGTCTATTGTATAGAATCCCATCCTCTTTCCCAATGGATTTGGCAAGTGAAGAATATTAAAAGGAAAAAAATAAGACCAGCAATAATATTACTTAGGTTTTAACTTTTTACTTTAAATAGTATGTCTATGTTATTTGCTCTTTTATCTCACTAAAAGGAAAGATTACATTCATTAGAAAAATCAGTGATATCCACATTTCATGATTTTGATATGATATTGATTCTAAAGTGTGTATTTTATACATTGCTGTCATTTTAATGCAGTCTCTTTAATTGAACTTCCCATACTGAGGCCTAAACCTTGCTAGGCCAGCATTGTGTCATCAGGGTGTGTCCGACCTTGCAGGTGCAGTCTTGAATGCTTTCTAAGATGCCAGTTTGTTTTAGACACAGTTCCTTCTGTAGGATGCTTGCCTCCATCGTTACACACAGCAAGTAGAACTTTCTATATAAGTTGAAGCCTTTTAAAGAAAAACAAGCATTTCATAGTCTATGTAAAAGTTCATGTTGAAAGAAAGAAAAATGATCTTATTACATTGAATCCAATGAGTCAAAGGCATCTTGATAGGAAGTAACACCCCAGACACACTTACATGAACCCACCTAGGAAATACATCTCCAAACCCCTCTGTCAGGCACGGGAGTGGTGGGTTAACTGTTAAAGAATGTACATTGCTCTTGCAGATGACCCAAATTTAGTTCCCAACACCCACATTAGAAGGCCCACAACTTCCTTAGCATCACGTCTTGGCCCATATGGGTACCTGTACTCCCCGCCCCACAGACACATATATAACTAAAACTAAAATACATAAATCTTGAAAAATCACTTTGTCAACAGTGGATGTCCCATCACGGATGTTCCAGTCAAACTCCACATACTGCGTGTGATTTACAGCTGTTTTAGCTTGGCTGCGGTTCTCTAGGAGAATACCTGAGACCAAGTCATCTATAACACACAGACATTTATTACACACAGTTCTGGAAGCCAAACAGTGCAAGATCAAGACACCAACATTTGCTCTCATGAGAATTCCTTGCTGGGTGCCCACATGGGGAAAAAATAGAAGAGCAATGGAGCCAGGGTCACGCTGGTACTCCTCTAGAAAAAGCAGGTAGCACACCCTCCACAGAGAAACCTTCATGCCCTGATCAGCTCTTAGCAACCCATTTCTTAATGCTATCACCATGGCAACACTTGAAGTTTGGAAGAGGCACTTCAAACCATAGCAGGAATTCTCTAGGGCTTTAGTTTTTGAAAAGCACACTTATTTCCACTAAAGAGGACCAGTTTTAAAATGCCTACACATTTTACTCTAGAAGACTGTAAAATGGTTTGCTTCCATGCTGTAGAATATTCTATTTCCTTAAGAATTATAATTAAAAGTATCTCTGTCCAGTTAAGAGAGTTGTGGTGCTTGAGTATATACATAAACAGGCATATACAGACCAAGGTCAAGTACATGTCTTTTCCTGAGTTGCAATGTTATGAACCAGGGTTCCTGTAGTCTTAGGAATCTACCTGGGCTTCGCTTATGTCCTTTGGTGTATATGCACTATATCATGTGATACAATACAATGAATCTCCATTTCAAAATATTCCCTGTAAGAACCACTAAAACCCATGGACCAGATGAGCATCTCAGTGTCTCCCATTGATGGTTCTACTTAGGACAACTGTGTAATTAGCTATTTAGATCAAAATGTACTTAGGCAGTGGCTGGAACCAAAGCCTACATTTAGATGGCAACAGATGAACTTCTGTTATATTTCCCTAGGGGTCTATAACTATTAGGAAAGAAGCCAGACTTCATATTTTGAGTTTCTGGCAGGATCTAATCTAGAGGAATCTGACCTCCCACATTTTTGCCTCTTCTTAAATGACGGAATGAAAAAGAGAAGAATGACCAAACCTGCCCTTTATATTCAGAGAGTAGATGAGACATCGTTTCTGCATTTTGCAATAAAAATTCGTATGGGAGAGAAAAAGGAGATGAGAAGGGGAGAGGAGAGGGGAGGGAAGGGGAGAGGAGAAGAGGAGAGGAGAGGAGAGATACATCTGTTCCTGGACAAGGAAGGGGATTTTGTTCATGTAAACCATCTTTTTATTTATGCCTGAGCTTGGGCCAGGCTTCTGATCCCACCCAAGGTTGAAAGGTACTTCTCACTAATGGCCTTTTCTAAGGCATAACCCACAGGACAGGATCCATATGCTCCTTCACAGCTTTCACTACCCCAAGATATGGAGATCTCTTATGGCGTTCCTGAGAAGGGATGTCCCTTAAGTGTCATTCTACCTCTGGGATCTGTGCTATTGACTCTGCAAGTGTTACTTCCTACTTGGCTGGTGGGTTGTTTCATGTCCATGGTGATGTCCATGGATGGGCACTATTGTTTCATTTTAGTGATGAACTAACTGGGACTCACAGGCACCAGATAGAGATCGCCCCTATTCCCTAGTCCACTAGATGCCACACAGGACTGCAGCGGCATCCTCTGCAAAGGTACAGTCTTTCCTTATAACTCATCTGAAGAGATAAGCTTGGGGTGGATATTAAATTGATGTCATAACATGAGCCAAAACTTCCTGAGGAGCTTATCCAATATCCTGCTTCATGCAGACACTGGAAGTAGATATCAAAGACTGAGGAAATAAGGAAAGATCTAGTAATTCTGAAGAAAACATGTCCAGATAAACATTTAAGGCCAATTTAGTCATAAAACGACAGTAGTTAGAGGGATTGGAGATGTAGCTCAGTGGTTAAAGCACTTGTTACCCTTCAGGAGGGTGTGAACTTGGTTCCCAGCACCAATGTCTGAATGAGTGACTTTAATTCCAAATGATACAGCATCTTCTTCTGGCCTCATATGGATACACACACACACACACACGCCATACACACACACATACACACACTAATAAAAGCACAGAACTAAATGTTTTAATAAAGAATATTGGTCAAATGTAAGAAGAGTGTAAAGACGTACCTGTGCTCTCAACTAATACACATGCACACTGGGTCACTGGAGACCTGGTGAATGAATGAGTCAACATGAAAGGATAATTCTCAGTAACAAAAATGGATCCTCTCTATCTAATTCTTGGAAACTATTTCTTCTGTGTCTGGAGAGGTAAAGTTGCATGCACCTGACTCTTGGGAGGCTCTTGCAGAAAAAAGACAAACAAAACCATATTACCGAAGCACAGCTGATAGCACAGCACAGGTTCCCCAACCAATTTTCTCGCACTGGTTCTTGG